TTGCAACTACTGAATTCACTCTTTGTTACAGAAATAAATTTTTGTATTTCACTTTTCATCACGTGTGATTTAGTATCTCCATTTAACCTCAGTGACTTGACTTGAATAAATCATAACTCAATGTCTAACAGGATGGGTTATAGTGGCTTTCTTTTCGTATAGACACAATATGTACTACACATCATACTTTGGTGTGAATTAAATGGTTATTTTCTCGTTTCAATTTTTTTTCCTTTCTGTTTTTTATGTATTTTGTAAAAGCTTAAAATGATTTCCAACTACCTGACTCTGAAAGCAAGGGAGTTAAAACTAAGTGAGTCAATTCAATTCACTATAGGATGATTTGACTCAACTAAAAAAAAATTTGTGTTTAGGATATAAGCAGTATGAATAACCTACCAATTTAAACCGACTTAAATTGACCTGTAAGTTCAAATTAGATTTTTTAGTGTTTCGATAAAAGTTAACCTAAATTGACTCAATACTATATAAGTTGGAGTAATGAGTTTTGTATTTTTAATTATGACCTAATTTGCTTAAAGTGATAATGTATATTAAAATATTTCAATTGAGATTTTTTACTAAAAAAAATTGAGTGGATTGAAGGTGGATTAACTTGTCAATCCACGTACCATTTTTAACTCACAAAATTACTAAAGTAAGTCAATTGGACAATCTTGCTAAGTGGGGTGAGTTGCATTTTTCAACCCATTTCCTTTAGTTGGCTAACCCACCCCGCCTCACTTCATTGTTTAATTAGCCTGTCTATCCCACTTTAAGTAAATTAACCCACTTTATCACCTTTATCTTTAGGTGCAATTATTGTCATTCTTTAATTAGAGTTAAATTTTTACTTCAATAATATGTACAAATATATATTAATGAGATCTATATTAAATGCAAATATATAATGTTGAGGAAAAACTCTAATTCTAGTTAGAGAATAACATCAACCGCATCTAAGAAATTATACGTAAATTTTATTCTAATAATAATAATAAATTGGTGTTTGGATGGCCACTTCTTAAGACAATATTCACTATCATTCTTGCTTAGTCATGGATTTTGTATTTTGAGTTGATAACATTGTAACAATATAACATATTTATTTTAAATTTTATTTTGTATTATTAATTATTTGAGTTGATAATAGTATAGCAAATCAATAAATTTATTTTAAAATTTAGTTTGTATCATTATTAGTAACATACTCATGTGTTCATGTGTGTTAATTGATTGTATTTGTATAATTTTAATTAGAATAAATATTAGTGTAAAGGTAAAGATTTTTCTTTATGTTAAAAACAAAACTTTTATTTGTGATGAGTAAGTATTCAGGTCCAAAAGGCCTATTTAACATACAATGAATTCCAAAAATTTAAAATTTTTGTAGGATATGTCATATGAATGAACATAATTTTTGACATTTGTAGGTTGAACACAAAATCCATTTAACATCTTCAATATATAAAAACTAACTAACGCAATTAGTTCATCAGCAAACCATAAACATTATATTTCTACAAATATTTCATCTCCCTACAAAAGATTCATCAACCTCTTAATACAAATCAAAGAGAAAAAAACATAAAACAACTATGGAAAAGGTAAATGGCTAAGAACCTATAAAAAGAAAATTTATTACGAAAGGTTGGATTATAAGTTGTTTAAACTTATCTACAATTGAGTCATCATTACAATTTTTCTTAACCTTGTACGATTGCTCAAACATTGAGTTGTTGGGCTTTTTAAAGTCAATTTTAAACATAAAAGTTTTATGAATCATGTTCAAAATCTCAATTAGAATACTTCTCGCACTACATCTCTACATGATTAAAACAACCATTGAATTAAACCCTAAAAAATTGGCTACATGAGACTTAAATGCAATGTAACATGACAAGCTTCAAACATTTTAATGCATGATTTATGAAACAACATTGTGACATTGCGATCAAACATCACAAATGTGGTAGAATCAGTTTCATCCATGACTCACATTTTAATGCGATACCGTTTAAAAATAAGAATATGAATTTGCATCAAATCATTAATATTTTTATTTTAATGAAGAAAGAAATCAAGAACTATAATAAATAAATATCTCAAAACAACCTTCATGACATGTTTGTTACATTTCTCACAAAAAAAAAACCATCATAAAGTCAACATAAAGTGACTTACTAAAAATGCAAGCAGTGTATCACCGGTCCCCATCATCAATAATGTTACTAATGGTACAAAGTACTACATATGAAAATAATATATAAGTAAAACCATCAATCATAAAGTTTTAGAAGGTTAAAATTCATACATCAACCAAAAATAAATATTATTATAACCTCCTTGTAATCCTTTATAGTTGCAATGCTTTTCTTTTGAGTGACATCTAAGAACCCTTCTAATATATTATGGTTGTTGGAATCAGCTAGTTGGCTCACCCCTTAATTTGGGAATTTCATATTTGCAAGCATCCTTCAAGTTCCACATAACATAAATTTAGCATGTACTCTTTAAAATAATGTGTTTGGTTTAAAATTTTCTAAATAAAATACTATAAATAGTACCTTTTAGAAAGAGTCACAACTTCTTCACGCGATAGGTTGAAAATCAATTTTTTACAATTGATACAATTTTTAAGATGTATCTTGTCTAAAATGAACAAAAATGTTGTCATATTTTTTTTCGATTATATGTTTATTGATTATTTTGTGTTATAAACAAAATTTCATAAATAGATAAATGAAAAATAAATGGGAACCAAAAAATTTTCACTTTCGTCAAATACATTATTACAACCGTGTTTTTCACTTCACAAGTCGTAAGGAATGCATTCAATTCATCTACATATGATCCAAATAAAATACACTTTATCTTACAACTATTACAAATAATAAGTTAAAAAAATAAGGAATTTGTCTTTATTGAAAATAGACAATGGATAAACAACAAATAAATAAATAAGTAGAATTTTACCCATCAACCTCTAATCGAATAACATTCATTTTTTTCGTCCTTATCATGCTCTCTCTTAGTTCCAACACTAGTAAGTAATTCCACGTCATCTACTTAATACAAGTTCAAGCTATTAAATTTGATTTTCAATATCAATGCCAATATGACAAAGATAACACTCACCAACTAAATAATTGGTATTCTGATTACCAACAACAACATCAAAAATAGGGACAAAATCTTATAATGTAGTAGGGACATAACCATTATCAACTAATATTATCTTAGTTGGTAACTGAAAAGTAATTTTATAGTTATGTTCACATGTCTCGTAATTTTTACGATTTTTAACAAAACCAAAATATTGGATAAAGTATATTGATCCCTCCTTTAAATAGTTATGAAATTTGTATATGAATGTCCTCCTCACATAAAGCATGAATTTATTTTGTACTATTAAATGATTTGATAAGAAAAATGTGACTTTTTAAATAAAAATTATTATTCTTTCTCAAATTTTTAACATTTTTTATTTGAAAAATTAATGAGTGATCAATTCACTTAATCTATCATCTTATGATGAATCAAGTTGAGTTGAGATTTTTATAACTCATAAAAAAATCATGTCAAATTAAACTAAGTCATTTAAAATTTATGTAAGTCGAAGCTGGAAAGTGATGAGATAACCGAAATGAACTGGTTAACTCACTTTGACTTTCACATCTGTGCATAAGTCACATGTTACAAATAAAGTAAAGTTTCTGTTAGCCATGTATGCTTTCACATGTAACACATGTCATACCTAATTGGAGTACTATTTATGCCTCCGTAGAAGAATTAATGTCTGCAACTAATTTGTAAATTGTGACGAAGTTTCTTGCTTGTGACAGATATATCATATGTCTGTGAAACCTTTTGCACCTCATGTGTAAGAATTATAATACATTTCATATTCCATTTTTATTATATTTAGCCTTCGTCAAACATATGTAAGAAAAACTTTTAATTCTAACTTAAATATGTATGCCCACTAATTATGACACACAATAATAAATAATGTTTTTTCTTGGCCACACAAATTAATAGTACTTTTAATAACCTTTTGGTTGGAAAGAAAAGACAGCTCAGAGTTTTTAGTAAACAGATAAATAAGCATAAAAAAAATTGAGACAGGCAAAACTAAAATATTGTTGTGAAAGCAGACACAATTTTATAAAGTAAGATTACGTGTTTAATTTTTAAAAAAAATGTAATCAAGAGAATAAATTTATCAAATAATGTTTTATTTAAATAAATTTGTTAATGATTACAAAAATGAAATTAAAAACACAAAACTATAAACCCCTTTTATAAATACAAATTAAATAAGCTTTACATAATATTTTCAAAACACTCTCATAACCAAATTAGAATTAAAAGATATTAGGAAAGTAAAGAGAAACTTTCTATCATCAAATGATTCTAATAATAAAGTGATTGTTAAAAACTTAATATACCTTTTAGAGGTTAAAAGGAACCGCATACTTTGAACTTTGTAATATTATTATAAACAATTATAAAGTGATCCCTTTTTTATATCTTACTACCATCTTGTGGGGTATTTCAGTTTAATAAGTAGATTCAAAATTCAGTGTCATCTACCAAATTTAAATAAAATTATCTTTTACAGCAGTTATATTCAGGTTTTTAGTTCTCTGAATTAACCTTAAACACATCCAGAAACACAAACACACACGCAGTTATATTCAGTTTTTTTCTTTTCTCTTTTTCATATTAAAAAAAACACAGTGAATATGAGTAATTCTTCTGTAACATAATTTATTGTTTTAGTATTAACCATAAACACACTAAATATGAATATTTTTCTTATAACATAAATCATTTCACACTTATCCCAGTCATTTAAACTCTTTATACAAAGGAATATGTTTTTCTGAATAGAAAGAAACAAAATTTCCAATCTGGTTTTAGTTAAAATCATGGCATGTATGTTCCTCAGGTTCCACAAGCACAGAACCCAAAAAAATATAATAAAAAAAAATCCAAAAAAAAAATGAAAGCAATGAAGCCACCCCCCATTCATCATACTTGTTAGTCAAAACTCAAAACCCATTGAGATGCTTTGCTGTCTCCTCTCTCTCTCTCTCTCTTCTGTCACTTCATAATTGGAAGAACAACACACACACAGTGCAAAGAAGACCAATCCTCACACTCTCTCTCTCCATGTTCTTCTGAATCATCAATTTCATCGTCATCATCATCACTCCATGGAACTTGTTCCATACTCCGACCCATCAACCTCCACCACCCCAGCATGGCAGGACATGTTCCGATCCGCCTCCACCCGCCACCCCTCCTCCCACGCGCCTCCCTCCCAACCCCACGCGCCGCCGAATCCGCCCTCCGGCAATGACCCAGATGGAAAAAACACATTTTCCGGCGACCCACAAGTGCGCCTAGCCCTTTACATAGCCATGGCCCACGCGGGTCTGGCCTTCGCCATTTTCATCCTTTACACCTTCTCGAAGCTTCTGGAACAGTACCTGAGACCCCTCCAATGGGCCATACTGTGTTCCATCCCTCTCAGAGGCATTCAGCAGACCCTAGTTTCGTTTTGGTCCGAACCCCTCCATCTGGGTCTCACCGAAACCCTCCTCGCTGTTCCCGTTGCTGTGTTTAGGGTTTTCGTTGGCACACTCGTTGAGCTTCGTGAGGCTTCCTTCAGAGTCCTTTTGAGAAGACCAAAGCCTCAGCAGACTCACCCTTCAAGGAAAAGAAGTGGGTTTTCCAAGTTGCTTCGTTTGCTTGTGTCGTTTGGGGTTTTCATTATTGCTTATGAGAGGCTTGGTGGGTTTGGAGCACTGTCACTTTTGGGGTTAGGGTTTATGTTTAGTTCGAGCAATGTTGATTCCACTATGCACACTTTGTCTTCCTTCAGGAGCATTAGCTTCAGGCGTAGTAAAATTAGTGCCTTTTTCACTAGGGGGATATTGAGGAGGTTGAAGATTATTGTGGCGGTTGGGCTTATTGTTGGCATGATTGTGGGGTTTTTGAGTGGGGTGATTTTCTTCTCTTATAAGATTGGGGTTGAGGGAAAGGATGCTGTGATATCATTGAAGCTGCATGTGGAGGAGAGCAATTATGCTGAGAGGATTGGTGTGAAGAAATGGATGGATGAGAATGATGTTGCTGGGATGGTGGATAGTTACACTACTAAGATATATGAGACTGTGTCTGATCAGATAGATGGCTTGGCTGTGCAGTATAACATGACTGAATTTGTCACTGGCATTAAGCATTTCGTGATATCTGGCTCCGGCAACTCTTCAGCGCCTTCCAAGGCCATGATGACTCCCTCTCCTTATGCGGATAAGTTCTTGAGCTTGAAGAACCGGGTTAAGAACCGCGAATGGAACCAGATTTACACAGAGGTTGATTCGCTTTTGCGGGAGCATGTGATCACTCGTGAGGATTTGGTTGAGAAGGCCAAAGGTTTTGCCTTCAAAGGAGTCGATGTGTTTCAGCAGATTTTTGCTAGTAGTAGAACTGTTCTTGGAGGCAGTACTAAGTTTGTGTTCTCCATTGCGAATTCCATAATCTCAGGAGCTGCAGAGGTTTTCAATTTTGTGTCTCAGACGATGGTGTTCATTTGGGTTTTGTATTACCTCATCACATCGGAGTCTGGTGGAGTGACAGAGCAAGTGATGTACATGCTCCCAATTTCAAACTCCACCAGGATCAGATGTGTTGAGGTTTTGGACAAAGCTATTTCAGGAGTACTTTTGGCCACTGCTGAGGTTGCATTTTTCCAAGGGTGTCTTACTTGGCTTTTGTTTAGGTTGAACAAAATACACTTCTTGTACATGTCAACTGTGCTTGCCTTTATTAGTCCTTTGTTGCCAATATTTCCATCTTGGCTTGCAACAATTCCAGCAGCAGTGCAACTAGTGCTGGAAGGAAGATACATAATTGCCATTTTCTTGTCTATTATTCACCTTTTTCTCATGGACTATGGTGCATCGGAGATTCTAGAAGATGTGCCTGGGAATAGTGCCTATCTCACTGGGCTCAGCATCATTGGGGGAATGACATTGTTCCCATCTGCTCTGGAGGTAAATTTTTACCCTCCTTGATTTAGTCTTCTCATGATTATAGAAGCACCAGTCTCTCACTATTGATGTTTATGTTTAGCTGAATCTCAAGGTTTCCACCCTTGTTTGTTCATACTCTTTTAGTCCCTATAATTTCATGAACTTTATTTTTAGTTTCTATAGTTAGAAACATTTCAATTTAGTCCCCATACATATCATTTTTATTTCTTTTTAGTTCCTTTAGTTTCATAAACTTTCCCTTTCAGTCCCTGTAACAATAGATGATGAAGACTAAAATAAAACAAAAATAGTATGTATAAGAATTAAAATGAAATGTTTTTAATTATAGGAAACAAAAGGGTATTTAATTTTAACTTTTTATGTCAACTTGCTTCTTTTGGAGATTCTTGTTTTAAAAAGGAAAACTGGTTTACCGCATATAACTTGATTAAAATTCTAGTTATAAGCTTTGAACTGTGATTACTAGGTTGATGTGGTCCTCTCTAAACTGAACTTATGTTAGCTATTTCTGTAAACAATGTGCCAAACGCAATTGGGATCCATTGAACCGTTCAAGTAAACTTCAATTGATAAAAAGTAGGTCTGATTCTTTTGGGCTTTGTTTTCTCTTTCAAGTTTGGTCTCTTTTGGGGGGATCAGGATCCGGATTCCATGCATTCACATTTTCACAGGCATTAATTAATACGGTTCGTTGAAGATTATATGATTCAAATCTCAATTTTCAAATGTGCATTAATTGACCGATATAAAATAAAAGTCATCTGACCTTCATCTAACGGTTTCGATTGATTAAATGCTTCAAATCCCCCAACAGTTAGGAATCCAGATCCAAGGGATCAGGACTGAAATTTCCTGTTGAGGCTTTAATTTCAATGTTGTAGAGGCTTAATTTTATTTTATTTTGTTTAAATACCGAATTGGTTTCTATAAGTTCATAAATTAAACTTTTTAGTTCTTATAGTTAAAAATATTTTATTTTAGTCTCTATACATATCATTTTTATTTTGTTTAGTTCCTATAGTTTTATAAGTTTTACCTTTTAGTTTTTATATCAAATAATCGACAGGGATTAAAACAGACAAATAGTATGTATAGAGACTAAAACTGAATATTTTTAGCTATAAAGACTAAAAGGTAAAATTTATGAAACCATAGATACTAAGGGGTATTGAAACATTTCTTTTTTTTATATCATGTTTGGTTCAGTCTATCCGATACCTAGTTTCTATGCTTTCCTCTTGTATCCCATAAAATTATTACATTGACTGAAGGGTGTGTGGTTCTGCAGGGAGCTATCATGGGACCATTAATAACTACTGTCATGATTGCACTGAAAGATTTGTATGCTGAATTTCTTTTGCAAGAACCTAAGGACAACGACAAGCAGAAAGCCAGCTAGCTTAGTTTCTACATCTGTCTATAAAAAGTATTTGTTTGCAGTTGAACTGCATGCTCGTTGCCATTGTTGATGAAGCTTTGCCTTTAGATTTTTGAGTCGCTCATAGTCACAAATTTTCAATTATATCTGTATCATTAGATGTCAAAAGTAGGACCCTTTTTTTTTTTTTTTTTTTGAGTCATTTTATTAATTTTAGGGGTCATCAAATATTTTCACTTGGTGGCAGTGTTTGTCAATTGTACACAATTTGTATTTGTATTTTATTCTGTATCAAATTTCCTTATTCTTTGTACCAAAGGAAAAAGTCTCATGAAAGCTTTTCCAGAAATATAGTAGCACCTTCAATATTCGTGGATTTGGTCATGAAGATGAGTTTCACTAGCATCATTATTTGTATCTATTATGTGCATTACTTAGCAACTATGGAGTGTACTGGAGATAAATGGAACAGAAAATTCACTCGAGTATTCTGTCTCAATATCGTGCATTTATATACTACGCCTTTTGTTGGCAAAAGTTTTGTATCAAAGATAAAAATAGAACCGAATAAAATACTGTAAGTCGTGCATTATTCCACTGCAAAGGGGAAGAACGAAACACGCTGATCTGTCTTATTTATATGCTCAACATTATTGTTGCCTTTATATTTCAACTCCTTTTGATATAACAAGAATTGTAAATATTGACAATGTTTGGATATAAAGTTTAGAAGTGTTTTGTGGATTTTTTTTCCTGGAAAAGTTATTTATTTTGAGTAGAGAAGTCTTTAAAAATATTTATAGTGTTGTAACCAAACAGGCCATAACTTTTGGAAGCAAGAGTTTTGTGTCAAAAATAATAAACGGAGATCAAAATTCAAAATGGACGAAGAATTGACATAGGGAAGAACCAAAAAAATTAATTCTAGATTCATATTTGACTATGTTAGCTATTCTATTGTATCAAGAATCACACTATAAACTGCATAAAATAAAAATTACTCTTGCCACAAAAATAAAAATTAAACCTTTAACGACTCACCGTGGTCCCTACACTTAGTGGAATCGCACTAAAAATAGTGAACTAAGATAAATAATAAAATTGGATAACTTATAAATACAAAAACATGAAAAATATATAAGAATAATTAAGTTTTTTTTTTTTTTTTTTTTTATCTCCTTCGTAAAAAAAAAGAAGATATTGTATATGAGTGAAATTAATTTCACTTTAGAATTAGATTAAATAATGTCATAAATTATATTTATTAATTGTAATATGTTAATTCGATATACATTTTTTTAAATCAATAAAATTATTAAAAATAATTAATAAATTAACTTTCATCTTTGAATTCGAATCTCATATCTTCACTTCTTATTTTCTTAATCAAGTTATAACTTGTGGCCAACTTAGGCCACCATTACATTTACATGAAACCTGATAGGCTACTTCTCATAATCACCCCCACCTTCATGCCTCATCTTTTATTTTATGGGTTTAAACTTTAAACTTGTCTTACTTCGCCTTTTAATTTAATTTTATTTTTTTACATGTAACGATACATATCAATTTTTATTGTATCATATGTAAAAAATAATAATATCGTCAATCAATTAAACAAAAGAAATATATTAGGTCATTTTTAAAAATTAAGAAACTTGACTAAAATTTTTAACAATATAAGAGCCAAACAATTAAATAAAATAAGAAGCTCAAAAAAATAATTTAACTTATTCAATATTAATTGTACCAGCAGTCAAACTTCTCAAAAAATTCTCATAATTTCTTGCCCAATAGAATATATATTCTAGATTCATATTTGACTATGTTAGCTATTCTATTGTATCAAGAATCACACTATAAACTGCATAAAATAAAAATTACTCTTGCCACAAAAATAAAAATTAAACCTTTAACGACTCACCGTGGTCCCTACACTTAGTGGAATCGCACTAAAAATAGTGAACTAAGATAAATAATAAAATTGGATAACTTATAAATACAAAAACATGAAAAATATATAAGAATAATTAAGTTTTTAAATATTAAGTATTTATACAGTTATCCAAAACTACTATCTCCTAGTGTCGGTCAAGTACAAAAACTGTTATCCAAGGTGGTAACTCTAACACGAGGATCAAAACTCCCTGTCTCGTAGTGGTCACCTCAACTCCAAGCTAGCCCTGACCTGCTCCCATACCAAGTATGATCATCGCAGTTCCACCACATGAAAAATAGAAGGGTAAGCTAGAGTTCAAAAATCAATCATACAAGTACAGACAATAGTCTATACCCCACAATCATCCAACTATTAATCATATTCATAGAGTCACCATACTCTATTCAATACTACTCATGCATCCATCAATCATGAAGCAAAACACCACACACTTCATCATATTAACAATCATGCAATAAATGCATAACAATCATCATCACAAACGACCATACAGTTCAACATAAAAACCCAACTCATTCATACAACTTAAAAGCAACTTTAATACAACAACAACAACAATATACAACTTAATATTTAATGCATCATCACGCATGTACAACTGGGAGATCTCCAACAACTGAGGTTGAGCAGTCTAGGTGGCATAAACCCTACCGAATCCAGCGTTTGACCTATCTCAACCAGGTCAGGTATAGAACATCGTTAGGAACTCCGAAGAGAACCAAGTATAGACAATAATAGTTGATTGCTCAGGTGTGCCACTTAGACTCGGAGGTCCAGTACTACTGTCAGGACAGAAGGGTTTAGGTATGAGCCTACCACGGCCTTGGCTAGC